GTTTATGAATAAGGTCAGTTCACTTGGACATTGCACAGAGAGACATCGCACATGCAAGCCTGCTCAGGTGCGGTAAAGTACTGCTGTAAATGCTGTACAACAGTACAATGTATTCCTGCTGAATATTTGTGTGACGTAGACAGGTGAGTCAACCGTGTAACGAACGGCAAAGGCTCGCGCCCGACATAAATGCAACGAAAACACACACACCACACATGAACATACTGCTGTTGGCAGCAAAAATAGGGTGTACAGCACATATTCCGGAGTATAGATTCAAAAACCAACCGTTACCCCTCTTTGATCAAGATGAATATTTAAAAAAGACATCGATCTGCTGCTGTGCCACACCATCCGACCTTCACTGCTGTGTACTGACCTGCAACACCGCCTCGTTCTCAGAGCAACCTTCCTTGCGGAGGTCGAAGAGTAGCATGAGGACCATCCTTGACTGCAACTGGGTCCAGACCTCGCCCTTCTTTGGCTTCACCTCGTGCACAGATGTGTCCATGTAGTCCAGGCCCTGAGCAACCTTCTCCGCCGCAGCAGCAGCTGCTGCTTGGACGCGCTCAACCTCCTGCTGCTCACGCTTTTCCCGCTGTGCAGCGGCGCGCGCCATTTCTTGCTCCTTCTTGGCGAACGCAGCCTCCTTCGCTCTGAGCGCTTGCTCCCTCTGCGCCATCTCTGCTCTGTCCGCCGCAAGCGCTGCACGTTGCTGCTCGAGCTCAGCTTGGAGTCTCTCCTGGGCCAACGGACCTCTCGCTGCTGCTGTTTTGGCTCTCTTGTCCGACTTGGAAGGGCGTCCAATTACATTACCAGTTGGCTGCCTCCTGCCCTTCGGCTTCGCCATCGGCCGATAGCTGAGAGGCCCCTCTTTGAGCGTGCAGTACTCGACAACGGCTGCGTTGTGTCCAACGCTGGTCTGATGTGCGCGTGCGCGAAATCATAGGGTTTCCAAAACGTTCTACATGCATGGCTAATTCGTTCTGTTTTTTTTTCAGGCCCGCACAAAAAAGTAGTGAAAAAGTACCCTATCTATATTCGCCGGCAACTGCTGTACCTTATGGTTGTCTGATGAGAGCAAGACCCGGCTCATTTGAAAGCTGTGGTTTCCGTGTTTCATTTGATGTGTGGTAGGTCTGCTAACCGTGCTGTAGATTTCGTATAAAGCCTCTGGGCAGTAGTGCTTGTTTCCAGCTGTCCAAGAATATTTTTTATTTAACACTGCTTGAGAGAGAAAAAATACTGTCGCCAAAAAAAGCAAAAAATTGCTCCCACTAGTCTAATTATGTGCCACCGTAATTATTATAAGGGTTTTCGGCATCTTGTGCGTACTTCCTTGCGTACAGATGACAGCTGCGTATGAAGTAATTTATTTTCTGGTGCTTTCACTTCCAGAGACAGTTGTAAGCACTGTGTAACTGCCTCGAGGGTGCTTGACCATTTT